TCTTAACTGACCCCGGCGCTCTTGGGGCTCACCACTGATTATCTGTCATGTCATCCTCTTCCTTGAATATTCTTTGTAAAGTTTCAGAAGGTCTTAGTTGATCTCGTCTTAATTAAAGAACCTCATTTTCATGCATAGAGGTGCAGCTTTTGAAATAAACCAGGTTAGTTGACATGGGAAAAGAACAAACCCTGCAAGAGAATTGAAGGGAGGAGATGGGTTTCTGCAAACCAAGGTGCACCATTCCCACACACGACGCGGCTTTAGCGCAGGAACGCCTTTCTTCTCGGCCCCGCAGGAAAGCTGGGTCCTGGGTGTCTCTCCACACGCATATGGCACTGTGGGTTAAATGTAAGGATGATGGGGCTATGGACACCTGACGCAGTGAATCAGGACTTTCAAATGTCAGATCCAACTGGAGGGCCTCCCCGTTGATCCCGCCTCGAGATTCCTTTTACCGACACCACCCCCACCCCACCCCAGCCATGGAGACTGAAGACTAATAAGCCAACGAAAAAGTGACCTGGGGGTGAAAGAGAGAAGAGTGCTTGGCCCTGTTGATGAGTGATAGTGTGATTTGGGGTGACTGCTCAATAAAACGTGGCAGGGCTTGGGGAGACGAGGTCCTAGTTGGCCATATGTTTATAGGTGGAAGGGATGTGGCAGAGCGAACTGGGTGTTGGGAGTTTCTGGAAATCAGTGGAAACAGCAATGCAAGGAGATGCTTGTATTTCTTGAGGAAGAGGGAAGCTTGATTCCTTCCAACATGTCCCATCTTGGATTAAAGTTAATTTTCTCTTTATAAGTGTTTTCCTCTATTTTTTATGCCACATATGATCTGTAAACAAAAGTATGGGACCTTTTGGGCGGGAAAGCATTGATATAGACTATTTGGATAAATAGATGATCACATGTTTATTGCTAGTAGAAATAATTCTTTTGAAATATATCATTCCTGAGATATGTAGACATCAGTAAATAGGAAGTTACGTTCATGTGTGGACACTTACACCCATTGAGCCACAAGCCACTTTAACTTAGAAACATGCTCTTTTTCTTTCACGACCACAGTTTCAATTTAGTCACAACAGAAAGGTTGTAATCATTACAATGTAAATAAAAAAGCATTGCTTCACAATACTTTGAGGGGCTGTCAAGTGAGTTCCGACGCCTATCCCTCGGTGCACAACAGAACCAAGCCCCACCTCATCTGCACGGGAAAGCCGGACAATGAATAAGCTGATGAACTGATGGACTGGAACTATAGCGTTGACTAAGACTGCTGAAAGCTCCATGGACTCCCAGGACAAACCAATCGGTCCCAGAGAAGTTCAGCGGGAAGGCTACTGAGACATGAGGGTGAGGATGCTCCACCTCCCAGACTTGGCACACGTGCTTCGAGAGGAGATCCTATTGCAGTGGTTCTCAACCTTCCTCATGCCACCACCCTTTCATACAGTTTCTCATAGGGTGGTGACCCCAAACCATAACATTGTTTTCATTGCTACTTCATCGCTGTCATTTTGCTACTGTTCTGAATCGGTGACCCTGTGAAAGGGTTCTTTGACCCTCAAAGGGGTCATGACCCACAGGTTTAGAACCCCTGTCCTATTGCATAGGGAGTCATGGACACGGCAGAACCTCAGGGAGATGGGTTGAAGCCTGTAAGACCAGCACAGGCCCAGGCAGGGTTTCATGATGTCCTTGTGCTGCATGCAGGGTCCTTATGAGTCGGAATCACTCAGATGGCACCTGACAAGCACAAGCAACACAATTTCATGTGAAAATCACCCCTTAGGAATTCCAAAATTAGATTTCTGCTCACCTTCTAAGTGACCTCTCTTCTGCCTTGACTTTCATTGGCCTCTCAGATCCCCTCAGACGGCACTATTTAGATCGGGTCTTGTTTTCTAGATCATAGTTGCAAATCCAAGATGCATATATATTTTTGTTTAATCATTTTATTAGGGGCTCATACAACTCTTATCACAATCCAGACAGACATCAATTGTGTAAAGCACATGTGTACATTCATTGCCCTCATCATTCTCAAAACATTTGCTCTCCACTTAAGCCCCTGGCATCAACTTCTCATTTTCCCCCTCCCTCCCCACTCCCCCACTTCCGTCCTGAACCCTTGATAATTTATAAATTATTATTTTGTCATATCTTATGCTGTCTGACATCTCCCTTCACCCACTTTTCTGTTATCCATCCCCCAGGGAGGAGGTTATATGTAGATCCTTGTAATTGATTCCCCCTTTCCACCCCACCCTCCTTCTATCCTCCCAGTATCGCCACTCACACCACTGGTCCTGAAGGGATCCTCCGCCCTGGATTCCCTGTGTTTCCAGTTACTATCTGTACCAGTGTACATCCTCTGGTCTAGCCAGATTTGTAAGATAGAATTGGGATCATGATGGGGTGGAGAGAGGGAAGAAGCATTTAGGAACTAGAGCAAAGTTGTATGTTTCATCGTTGCTATACTGCAGCCTGACTGGCTCGTCTCTTCCCTGCGACCCTTCCATTAGGGGATGTTCAATTGCCTACAGATGGGCTTTGGGTCTCCACTCCACACTTCCCCTCATTCACAATGATATGACTTTTGTTCTGATGATGCCTGATACCTGATCCCTTCGACACCTCGTGATCTCACAGGCTGGTGTGCTTCTTCCATGTGGGATTTGTTGCTTCTGAGCTAGATGGACCCTTGTTTACCTTCAAGCCTTTAAGACCCCAGACGCTATATCTTTTGATAGCCGGGCACCACCAGCTTTCTTCACCACATTTGCTTATGCACCTACTTTGTCTTCAGCAATTGTGTCGGGAAGGTGAGCACAAGATGCATTTCTGATTATGATTTATTCCATTAAAATTTCTTCAGCAGTTTCCAATTTGCTTACTCACATAATTGCTCAGGCCACCTTTAAAAAAATATTTTTTGGAAGTTACCTTAATGAGACTAAGATAATTGTTTAATAAGAGAACGTATCTGTAGTCATTCATTGATTGCAGAAATGATTTTGTTTGGAATAAATCTATAAGTGTATGTGCCAGAACCCTAATTGCAATACATTTTGACTGCCCTCAGATTAGAGTCCCATGGTGGTTTACTCTCTACTCCCATAAGGAATTACAGCCCCAGAAACTCACAGGGGCAGTTCTGCCCTGTCCAATAAGTTGGCATTGACTCAATTGAAGTGAGGGTTTTTTTTTTTAATGTTTTCTTCCACACTGGCTTCTCTAATGCATGCTTTTAAAATCCCAGTGATCAGAATTTTGCTAATAACATGGCAATTTTACTCACTGCTGGAGATGAGTAAAGGAGGCTGATTTAATGAATTATACTGTTTCTGAATTTAGATGAAAGGGTTTGAAGTCCCTGTGGTGTGGCATTTGACTAGATGTGCATAATGCTTAAAGTACAACATCTATGTTTGCTGGGGCAAGTGGGTGCCGGTACCCACTCTCTCTCTGAGTACAGAGTCATGATTATCCTAAGGGCCACTGGCTCAGCCCTGCACCCTCGCCTGGCTTTTGGAGAGTACAGAGGAAACGAAGCACCTGCCCCACTGCCATTGAGTCGGTCCCAACCCACAGAGACCCTAGAGGACAAGGGGAACAGTGTTCACTTCCTGTGTGTGTAGTTTAAAAAACAATACTTTCTGAGTAGTAAACAAATTCAGGATTAGCCAGCACTCTGGTGATGAGTTGGGCAGCTCACAGCAAGGTCTGAAACTGTAAACCAGCAACCACACTGTGGGAGAAAGACTGGCTTTCTACTCCCGGAAAGAGTTACAGTCTCAGAAACATACTTCTCCCCTGTCCTACACGGTCGCTGTGAGGGGACATGGAGTCGATGGCCGTGAGTTTTGGGGAGTCGGGATTGATGTTCTTAATGAAATAACAACATACTGGGAAAAGTTATTTCAGCAAAGAATGTGTTTTATAACTTTTTTTTTTAAACATGAACATGATGTACCTTCACCTGAGCATCCTCTGTCTCCCCACAATGGTGCTGCAAGCAGTTGCATTGACGTTTCATGATCTGACATGGTACAATCCAGGCTTCAGCTCCCGTGGTGAGCCCTCAGTACGCTCCTGCCTCTGTCTCTCTAGTAAACCATGTCGGCTACATTCAAATCACATTGTTGCTACATTATTTCTCTTGTATTGTTTCCAGCAGGAAACACTGCTGCATTATGTCATGCATCGATCTAGATTCTGAGCCTCCGTAATGCGGTCAGCAGCTAGCTGGCTGGGGCAAAGGTTACCACCGTCTGCTGTTACCTGACAGATTGCCAGTAAGCCTTGATCCCGAGGTGCCTGCAAAGAAAGGCTTGCTAGTCTACTTTCCATACAACACCCTGCCATTGACAAGCCTATCAGAACACAGCTCTATGCTGACACCACAGGGTCCCTGTGAACCAGAACAGATTCAAGGGCAATGTCGAGTTGACTTTAGTTTGTTTATTTGTTTTTTTTAAGCAAAAGTGAAGAAATGTATCGGAGCCCATATGGAAACCCTAGAGGGGCCCAGCATCCCCTACTGTGTCGGCATGCCTAGCAAAGGGTCACACCGTTCACTGCACCCCATGTCCCAGAGGGAAGCCCCTCGAGCCGAGCCCCAGAGCCCCACGACTGACTGGGGTGGGGACATGGCTTGTATTTTTAATTGTTTGTTCCTAGTCAGTTCTGGTCCCTGTCTGCAGCAGAGCACTTGGTGGTCAGTATAGTAAGTTTAGCAGAGCAACCTGGCTGTTGCTTCCGAGCTGTAAGTCTTTACGGATGGAGCTTCTAAGACTTCCTTTTGAGCTTTTTGGTTAAGGGAAAAGAAAGTTCTTGTTCGCGTTGCATTTGTGTACAAAAGTTCTGTGTTGGAATCGCATTATTTCTTGTTATGAAACCATATAGGTAAATGTATGGAAGTAGTAGAACTAGTAATACCATTGACATTTCCAGAATCACTCTTAATTTTTTTTCTTTTTTCTTTTCATCAGCCAGAATTTATACATATATGCTAGAGAAAGCCCGGCTGGTTTCACAACCTCTTGGCCAGACTAATTTCCTCATCTTCTACATGCTGCTGGATGGCTTATCTGCTGAGGAGAAACATGGGCTCCACCTGAGTCATTTATCTGCACACCGGTGAGTGACACTATTTTCTATCCAGCACTCTGCTAACTTCAAATTGTGATGGCGATGTAGTAGTCTCGACTTTTTCCAACCATTTCTCAGTGATGAAATAGTGACTAAATAAGAAGAGTCCAATATTGTTTGGTTTGACAACTATCTGTAGAACAGGGCGATACTCAATATTGATTATTTAGATGAGTCTTTGAGGACATGTAGAAGCTTATGTTCCACTTGCCTCATTTTCGAATTAAGAAAAATAAGTGCAAAAAAATAAGTGCATATATAAACTTTAATATTTCATTTAGCTGTTTTGAATTTTACATTGGTTATGCATTCCTAATCTTTGGTAGTCTTTTAAAATAATGGAAACTATCATTTGAATAATTATTATTCATTGGTAGCAGATGAAGTTGAACAGATTTGAGGCGTTAAACAGTCGAGTTACAGTCTCAGAAACCCACAGGAGAAGTCCTGCCTATGCTCCAGGGTCACCGTGAGTCAGACTCCACTTGACGGCGGAGTGAAGGCCATGGTGGAGAACCCCTGTTGCACACACCGACTTCCAGGAACTCAGGCTCCTTGCCATTCCTCATAGAAACCCTATAGACAGAGCAGAACTCCCCCTATGGGTTTCGGGGACTCGAAATCTTTAAGAGAGTAAAAAGCCTCATCTTTCTCCTTCTGAGTGGCTGGTAGTTTCAAACTGTTGACCTGGAATTGCCAGCTGGCTTCCTAAGACTTTGATTTCATCTGAAAGATAGCTCTAAGTCTGTGGACCTTTCAGTGTGGTGGTTTAAGCCGGGATAAACAGCTGTAAGGGTAGAAGTGTTAGGGTTCTCTAGAGAGACAAAACCAGATTGCTAATAATTAGATAGATTGATTGATAGATAGAGGTATAGATATATAGATATAGATAGATAACACAAGAAATAAACAGTTAAATTATAAAGCAGTTATACAGATAGATAGACATATAACACAAGAAATAAACAGTTGAATTATAAAACAGTACAAATGGCTCAGTATAATTCAAACATGTTAGAGAGTTGTGAGACACTGGCAGTCCTTCAAGTCTTGAGGGCCGCCAGGTCGTCTGCTGTAGAGAGATCCAGGCTATCCCAGCACAGGCAGCAAACAGCAAGGCAGGTCACCACCTGTCAGCCAGGTCACCAACCGTCAGTCCCCAGCTCAAGAGATGTACATTCCAATCGTGTGGTGTTAAAGGGACCTCAACTTACAGCGACACACTCCACAGGTTAGGTGTCCCACAGGTAGTGTAGCTTGCAAATTGAGGCAGAGAACAAGCAAGGTAGCTGCACACTGGTCCGATGATCAAAGAGCGAGAGACTAGAAAGGCGAGGCTTGCTGAGCCATTTATGTCTCCGCCCTTCAATGAATCCTACACGTGTTTATGGGCCAGGCTGGCACAATAAACTAACTATCTCAGTAGAATAAACCCTAAACTCAATCCTAGTGACCCTTTACGGCAGAGTAGAAGCGCGGCTGTGGGTTTCCAAGAGTGAAAATCTGGATGGGAGTGGAAAGTCTTGTCATTCACTTCAGAGTGGCCAGTGGTTTCGAGTGGCTGATGTTGAGGTTAGCGGCCCAAGGAGTACCACACTGTGCCACCAGGGCTCCTGAAAGGTAGGTGGGAGGTGCCAAAATCACTGATCAGAGTATGTCAGTGGCGCAGGTGAGGGGCAGGGCAATGTAGGATGTTCTGAAACTAAGGCGTTTGGTATCTGTAGACACCTTGGTGCATGGAAGAGAAGTCATCAGTGCTCCCTCTGACTGTCCTTGGAGCAGTGCGTGTGCTATTCCCTGGGGTGGGGGATCGAGAGGGAGCACAAGGTGCGCGGGGGAGCAGGAGGGTCACCTGAGAATCCAGTGTTCTGTGGGTCTGCCAGGTGAAGCGTGAAAAGTCGACTGGCCACCAAGTGGAGGTGCCAAGTAGGAAGGTGGGAGATACGAAGATATTTCCTGGGGAGACGGCAACCCGAGCGGCCCCAGGGCTCGCCATAGGCTGGATTCTGAACCGTGGTTGAATTAGTGAGGGTACCACCCTGTCCTCCCCCGTCTCTTTGGCTGCTGGGTGATGAGTGACGGGCAAATGGTGACAAGAGCCTGACTTCATGCCACGCTGAGCAATCGCGCCGAGCAAATTCCAGAGGAAAAATTACATTCGGCCATAGAGGTAGTTTGTCACATGGAGGAGAAAAGTAGTCTGAAAAAGATCATATCAAAATTGTCTTTTTTGAAAAATTGAGCATATGCTCAAGGGATGATATATTTCCCCTCTTCTCTTGATAACCGTTTCTTCTCTACCCCTTCCAGCCTTTTGGTCTGAGAAACATTTTTTAGTTTTGATTTCTTCTTCTGTAAGTGTGGTTGCATGCAGTATTTGTCTATGAGATTGGCCAACCTTGCTGAGCGTAACATCTTCCAAATGCACCCATGTTGGGGGTTGAGGGGGCGGGAGTGTCCATGACACAGCACTGATTCCATGACGGTGAGTTTGGGTTCTCATAGTCCGTTGCATGCCTGTTTACTTATCTGTTCCTCCACAGAGAGACTGTTGGCGGTTTCCATCTTGTTGCTAGCAGAGATGGTGCTGTGAGAAACAGGGGCGTGTCTCTCGCTTGGGGTTCTGTTCATTATTTCCTAGAGTAGAAGGATGGCTGGGCCATAGGGTATTTCTGTTGGCATTTGCTTAAGGAAGCCCCAGACTCTCCCACAGTGGCTGTACAAGTTCATGATCCCACCGGCGGTGTATGAGTGCCCCAATCCCTCAACATCTTCCCCAGCATTCTTCTTCTCCTGAAACTTCTCTTTTATCTGAAATTAACAATCATTTTGGAGCTGAGGCTCCCTCAAGTACAACAGACTTTTATCAGAACAGAATACTGACATTGAAATATGATAGCCCAGGGAAAGGTCATCGAAATGCTATTAAAATGGACTTTTGTTTGTCTTATATCAAACCCTCTCTACTTAACCAAACCAATCCACTTCCATCAAAGTCAATTCTGACTCATAGTCATGCTACAGGACAGGGTAGAACTGCCCTTGTGGTTTTCTGAGACCTGAAATATTAGCTCTCCTAGGATGCCTCGTCTTTCTCCTCTGGAGAGGCTGGTTTGGTGTCTACCAAGTACTGCCCTCTCGGTTAGTAGCCCAATATGAGCCACTACGTCACCAAGAATCCTGTTAATTGTGCAGGAGAGCTAAACAATAGAGCCATGAAGAAGCATGTATGGAAGAGACTATATATATTACATACATAACCACAATTGTGCTGAAAACCATTGCAGGAAAATTGCATTTTTCTATATAGAACATCCCTAACTGGATAGTAGTGTGTCCATTCTAAGAAAACTGTAATTGGATTGAGTACAATGCACAGGGTGTCTCAGAGAGTCCACTGTTGTCCTGTGTTCCTCTTTATAAGCAAACGTCCAAAGCTGATACGAGAGGAAAGGCTTATAAGGAGTGTGCAAGTGTGTGCTCGCCATCGCAGGCATAGAGTCTCTGAAGAATAAATGTCAATTTTCTAACCTACTGTTTCAAAGCAACAATGAAACTCTCTTGGTCCTTGGCTTGGATGATTTTTTTTTTTTAATCTGTGGGAGAAAACAAGGACTTCTTTATGCAGCTCCATTTCTGACCTTCATTTTGCTTTTTATAAACAATAGTTTGGAATCACTTAGGAGATGTGGAAGCTCGGCCAGCGAGGGGTGGCTTTGTCAGAACCTCCCTCCAACAGGAAATAATTCGGCAAAGGATGAATAATTCAATTCCCAGGAACAAAGCCGTTATTTTATGAAAGTGTATTATAAATAGCTAACGAGTGAAAAACAATATTTTTCAATAAAAATACACACCACCGCTCCAGATTCCTAAAACTATCCGTAGGAACATTAGTCCAAGGACCACTGGCCCAATGGTATGTGGGAATGAAATGAGCCATGAGTGCCTCCCGGGGCATTGCTGCTCCGAGCCAGCAAGTCAAGTCCAGCGCAGGACACAATCCCGAAGACAGGGCAGAACTGCCCCTGAGGGTTTTCTAGACGACTGTAACCTTGATGGAAACAGATCACCAGGCCTTCTCCCAGAGGATGGATTTAAACTGGAATCTTTTGCTGCACCAAAGGGATTCACCATGGTGCCCCACCCTATTGCTCTGTGTGTTCCACAGGTCTTTCCACATTCAACATCTTGGGGACGCTTCTCGCTCTTCAGACGTTGGGAAAGAGCACATGTTAGTGTGATCCTTCATGTTGGATTGGTGTCTCTGCTTTGTTAGTAACTACATATTTAAGTAGCATCATTTGGGGAACTGTTTGACTTGTTAATAATCAGAAGTCTGCTCTTGTATTATTGCGGCCCTGAACTTGCCAGTATCCTAATCTTTCCCACGTGAAAGCTCCTCCTTCTTAAAATCGCCACTCCACGGGAAAGGAGAGGATTGTTTGTAAAATGCTCAAATCACACCCGGCACAGGCATCCATTATATCTACTTATCTTTTCAAAGACATGTTAAGCACCCGTCATCTACTAAATAGGGAATAAACAAGTCTATGCAATACCATTTGAAAGATCTCTCTGTTTACTGACTCATTCCACCGAGCAGATTGTGGTAACATGCTGATGAACTATATTCCCTTTGAGGGAATGCTAAAAAAAAAAAGGCAACCCTGATCCTTTTAAATGCATCTTGTCCCTTCTTTGTTTGCAACATGATTGTTACTTACATGAAACAAAATAAAATACATGTGTATCATTGCCTGTGAGCTCAAGGGGCATCCATCCCTGTGTATCATACGCTCTACGGGCTAATTCCAAGGAGCAGTGTGCTTTTATAATGGAGGCTGCAAAAGTTGTGATTTTGTAACTTTGACTCTGTTTGGAAGTTAAGTTTTCAAACCATCGCATGGAAAATTTTAGGAGGTTTCTTTCAACATGAAGGTGCCCTTGACATTGAAATATGCTTTCAGCTGCATTTCTATTACAGT